TGGTTTCCTTGTATTCCGCCCTCCCCTCGGCCACTGCTTGCTCTAAAAAGTCAAGCTGACAAATCTCTCAAAGTCTATTGAGTACCTTCACACCGCTCTAAAAAGTCAAGCTGACAAATCTCTCAAAGTCTATTGAGTACCTTCACACCGCTCTAAAAAGTCAAGCTGACAAATCTCTAAAAGTCTATTGAGTACCTTCACACCGCTCTAAAAAGTCAAGCTGACAAATCTCTAAAAGTCTATTGAGTACCTTCACACCGCTCTAAAAAGTCAAGCTGACAAATCTCTAAAAGTCTATTGAGTACCTTCACACCGCTCTAAAAAGTCAAGCTGACAAATCTCTAAAAGTCTATTGAGTACCTTCACACCGCTCTAAAAAGTCAAGCTGACAAATCTCTAAAAGTCTATTGAGTACCTTCACACCGGTCTTCAAAATTACAAATTAGACACCGTCTACGGGGAGTTAGACTAGACCAGAAACATGACCTATAACTAGATAACATTGTCAAGTTGTACGAGTCATTTAAAAAAAAAAATTATAAATTGAGTTAACGGAGGACATCGGCATTTTAAAAAAATCGATAATTTTAATGGATTATAAACACATCGGCCTGTGCATGATCAGTATCAGGGGAGGCTACCCACACACGTATCTGTCCACTTAAAGCTAATTTCAAGTGATTAATTCAATCGACTCAAACACGATTAATCAAAATAAATAGCGATCTAGTTTTTCTGTCTAAGGGGACACAACCTTGAAATGGCTGACGGTGGTCTTATTTCGGGGAGACGATCCTCACAAACGGAAGTCTAAATGTATGTAGATCTAGTGAAGCAATTACCTCCCCTAGCTGGAGGCCCCCCAAAAGCATCTATCAAGAGAACACACTCTATCGCTGTTCATTGATTGAATTAGCTAGATATTTCTATAGCTAGATATCTCTACAGCTAGATATTGCTCCAGCTAGACTCGCTGGTGTGGATGTTTTTCTCATGGGAAGATTGAAACAAAATTTGGCTTTCACCGCTAGGGGCTATTCAGAGATTTAAGTAGTCAGGTCATCTACAAATGGCGATCAGCCGGACCGGCGCGCGCTTCCTAGCGACGTCTGCCGCAGTTTCTAATGCGCCCGCCAAAATAACGCGCTAGGATGGGCGGATATTTTGTACAAATGTCTAACCTTAGATTTAGTGGCTGGGTGTTTTTGTCGGAGAATTATAATACTTTGATTAAATGACGGATTAGAATAGTGTTGATCTCATGATAAAAGGAAATCGTTGAATATTTAATAATTAGTAAACATTAACCGGGGATTTTAGAGGAAAATCTACCGTTTAAAAGCTGGTCAAATGACAAAAACTAATATGGCGGAATGTCGTAATTTAACGCGAGATTTTAATCCCTTGTCTCGAAGACAGATTTCAGTGCTTGAAGAGGTAGCACACGCATTTAGGCTACCTTTTTGCTTGAAGCAAGCAAGAGGTAGCACACGCATTTAGGCTACCTTTTTGCTTGAAGCAAGCAAGAGGCAGCACACGCATTTAGGCTACCTTTTTGCTTGAAGCAAGCAAGAGGTAGCACACGCATTATGGCTACCTTTTTGCTTGAAGCAAGCAAGAGGTAGCACACGCATTTAGGCTACCTTTTAGCCTAATACATTAATTCAACGTTTTCGCTTGAAAAAAGCGAGAGGTTATAACACCATATCCGCTGTATGTAAATTTGTAAATAATGTAATGTAAATTTGTGTATAATCTAATGGACATTTAAATGAAATGCAATTGAAGTTCAAGAGCTAAAAATAGTTGCTGCCCTGAGCGAAAGTACACTGTCCATAAGTAACCAGTCACAAAAAACTGACCACACCAGTTGACCACGTGATGACCGTAGGGCCGTCGTCTTAAAGTGGGATATAAAGTGTTTTGATCTTCTCCATTCAACCCCACTGACAGCTAGAGTACACGTTAGACCATCTGTCTCACCTCAACCCCACTAACAGCTAGAGTACACATTAGACCATCTGTCTAACCTCAACACCCCTCATGTCTACCCCCTCCCCCCTAACGAAATAAAATTTATACAGAAAATTTATAATTTTACCAGTGTCCCCACACCCCTCGGAGAAAAAAGTCTGAAAGAAATATTGGACCACTGCCCCCCCTTCCCTACACGTCACACCCTAACGCTATTCCCCCCTCTGAACCCAACCCCCCCCCCCCATCGTCTCGCAACACACTACCTCCCACGTCGTTCTCTCCCCCACACTCTCCTCCCCACACTTCACTCACACACTTCCCTCACACACCCCACAAGCACCTCACATATGACGCAGCAAGCCCCAGGCTGGTCATTTACAATACAAATCTTATCAGTTGGTTAGGTCATCAGTGGTTGTATAAAATAGGTCAGTGGTTGTGTTAACTAGGTCATAGCTTACATAAACTAGGTCAGAAGTCTCGTTAATTAAACCAGAAATGTCCTTGACCTACACTTTTATCCACCAAAAACAAAATTCAGCGCACACACCAGGGATGATACAGGTGGTTAGGATTTGAACTTATCACATTCTACTTCACCTGCCCTCAGGTGGCTGGGATTCGAACTGACCACTTTTGCTTTTCACGTCGTAGAAATAGGTCTAGTCTACTTCACCTGCCCCCAAGACCATCCAAACTTGAAAGTTAACTTTTAGTGGCTTTTTTAACGTAGAAGTTAACTCAAAAAATAGAAAAGATGTGAATACAGAGGATAAAGTGTGTGTGTGTGTGTGTGTGTGTGTCTGTGTGTGTGGAAGGGGGGGGAGTGCTGAAATTGAATTTGGTCTGACCCAGACCCAGTATTTAGATACAAACCTGGGTCAAAGTTTTTCCCAATAAAACATGACCCATCTGACTTAATTACCTCACTGAGTAGCAAGGCTTTTGTGAGTTCTTGAAGTCGCATCTATTTATAGCCAGATGAAGCATTTCCGTTTTGTTGTTAACCTTGACCGGCTATTAGAGTAAGTCAATTATTTGTGAAAGATGTGTTTTGTAAGTTTGTTATTAAAGTCAATTATTTGTGAAAGATGTGTTTTGTAAGTTTGTTATTAAAGTCAATTACTTGTGGAAAGATGTGTTTTGTAAGTTTGTTATTAAAGTCAATTACTTGTGGAAAGATGTGTTTTGTAAGTTTGTTATTAAAGTCAATTACTTGTGGAAAGATGTGTTTTGTAAGTTTGTTATTAGAGTCAATTACTTGTGGAAAGATGTGTTTTGTAAGTTTGTTATTACAGTAAGTCAATTACTTGTGGAAAGATGTGTTTTGTAAGTTTGTTATTAGAGTAAGTCAGTTACTTGTGGAAAGATGTGTTTTGTAAGTTTGTTATTAGTGTAAGTCAATTACTTGTGGGAAGATGTGTTTTGTAAGTTTGTTATTAGTGTAAGTCAATTACTTGTGGGAAGATGTGTTTTGTAAGTTTGTTATTAGAGTCAATTACTTGTGGGAAGATGTGTTTTGTAAGTTTGTTATTAGTGTAAGTCAATTACTTGTGGAAAGATGTGTTTTGTAAGTTTGTTATTAGTGTAAGTCAATTACTTGTGGAAAGATGTGTTTTGTAAGTTTGTTATTATAGTAAGTCAATTACTTGTGGGAAGATGTGTTTTGTAAGTTTGTTATTAGTGTAAGTCAATTACTTGTGGAAAGATGTGTTTTGTAAGTTTGTTATTATAGTAAGTCAATTACTTGTGGAAAGATGTGTTTTGTAAGTTTGTTATTAGTGTAAGTCAATTACTTGTGGAAAGATGTGTTTTGTAAGTTTGTTATTATAGTAAGTCAATTACTTGTGGAAAGATGTGTTTTGTAAGTTTGTTATTATAGTAAGTCAATTACTTGTGGGAAGATGTGTTTTGTAAGTTTGTTATTAGTGTAAGTCAATTACTTGTGGAAAGATGTGTTTTGTAAGTTTGTTATTATAGTAAGTCAATTACTTGTGGAAAGATGTGTTTTGTAAGTTTGTTATTATAGTAAGTCAATTACTTGTGGAAAGATGTGTTTTGTAAGTTTGTTATTATAGTAAGTCAATTACTTGTGGGAAGATGTGTTTTGTAAGTTTGTTATTATAGTAAGTCAATTACTTGTGGGAAGATGTGTTTTGTAAGTTTGTTTGTTCAAGTCACGTTCCTGTTTTTTAGGATAGTCAAGAGCGGTAACTCTGGGTTTGATAAATGTGTCTTGTCTCCCCTCAATGTTAATAGAACTATATACGGCTATATGTGGTATGTTAAATACGGCTATATGTGGTAGGTTAACTACGGCTATATGTGATAGGTTAAATACGACTATATATTGCAGGTAAATTTCGGCTTTGTAAGGTTGGCTTAAAAAGACTCTGAGTTTTTAGCACATGTACATTAAAAAATGAGATTTAAGCAGTCAATTAACAAAAAATTCATTAGCAACCCGTCAGCCTACCACCCAACCACCCCACCACCCTACCACCCCACTACCCTACCCTGCCATCAAATAACCTTCAGACAGAAGCAGACGTGCCGTCGTCTGCCCAAGAACAAATCGCGCCGATACAGAAAGAGAAACGACTCACCAAGTTCTACATAACCCCCACGGGTCTCCCACACGTGAGTCTAACCAAAGCAAGGGCCTTAACCTTGCAACTTATCCGTCTGCTGAGTTGTCTGTCCACGGCAGCCCGCCATTTCTTGCACCGGCAGGATCTTAGCAGAAGATTTTCTGGGACCTACGTGTTCTATTTGACCCTGGGGTCCCCAGCCCCTGGGATTGGGACGTACAGTTGTATTGTCTCGTACAGAAATATAGTTTTCTTTATCCAAATCTGGCTTTACACACACACATTATATATATATATATATATATATATATATATATATATATATATATATCCCACTTGAAATAAGAGTAGGTGGATTAGCGTGAAGAAAACCCTAATCCTCCAGTGGATTAGCGTGAAGAAAACCCTAATCCCCCAGTACTTGTGTTACAGGGGGACAACTCTACGTAGCAGCCAACAATGCTCGCTTTCGTGACTGTTCGACCAGCTCAAGGGGCGTAATTCCAAGAGCCAAGATCAAGACAATCAAAATGACACTGGTTATCGTTACTGGTGAGTGGGAGACAACTGATCGCATCCATTATTCTCTCTAAAAGCTTTATTTCTCACCAAACATTTTATGGTCTAAACAGAATTTGAAAGACTGAAACTGATTCCTTGTACGTGACGTATGCAGTACATTACGTGGTAACTCTATACGGGAGTCACGTGGCAAGCCGAGATAGAAGTCGGGTTTTTAAATGTTGTCTTGCTAGGCTTTGTTTACAGCTGACATTTAATGGGTCGTATCAAAGATGATGGTGACTGTAGACATGGTGTACGATGTGATGGTGGCTGTAGACATGGTGTACGGTGTGATGGTGGCTGTAGACATGTTGTACGATGTGATGGTGGCTGTAGACATGGTGTACGATGTGATGGTGGCTGTAGACATGGTGTACGATGTGATGGTGGCTGTAGACAGGGTGTACGATGTGATGAGCTCACGTGACATGGAATCATTAGCATAAGTTACCCTTTGTGCATGGGGCAGATGAAGTAGAGTTCAACTGTTTAAATGACCTCGACATACAGGGATATAGTGTGGTCAGCACTTTTCTCAGTCGCCTTTAGTATCTCTAACGTGAGACTATATTATGTCAGCAAGTAATGTGTTCTCTAACTCCCCTCCCCCCCTCCCCCCCAGTGTTCATCATCTGCTGGTCGCCCTACTTTGTGTACGACCTGCTGACCGTCTGTTCTCTAACTCTCCCCCCCCCCCCACCCCCCAGTGTTCATCATCTGCTGGTCGCCCTACTTTGTGTACGACCTACTGACCGTGTACGGGTTTGTGCCCCACACCCAGGACACCGTGGCCCTCTCCACCTTCATCCAGAGCCTGGCCCCCCTCAACTCGGCCGCCAACCCCATCATCTACGCCGGCTTCAACACCAAGATGTGCGTCAACCTCTTCAGGTCAGTCCACGACCTTAGGTTAAAGGTTAGAGGTAAACACGAAGATGTGCGTCAACCTCTTCAGGTCAGTATACGACCTTTCACCTTAGGTTAAAGGTTAGAGGTAAACACGAAGATGTGCGTCAACCTCTTCAGGTCAGTATACGACCTTTCACCTTAGGTTAAAGGTTAGAGGTAAACACGAAGATGTGCGTCAACCTCTTCAGGTCAGTATACGACCTTTCACCTTAGGTTAAAGGTTAGAGGTAAACGTACACGTGATTTATAGGTAAAGAAAGACACGTGCATAAAAAAATTACTTCCAGTCAAGAATTGTTTACTTAAAATATTTACCCTTTTAAATAGCACGTACAAAAATGACTTAGTTTTGACTTGTATAAATCTAGCACAAAAGACAGGAACGTTAACTCCGTCCTCCCACCATCTCGTTACAACCTATGCCCTACGGACGATGTATTTTAATTGTTACCTCCCTTGGTGAAGCTGGATAGATCCAGATAGCTGGATTTCCCCATTATAAAGTAGATCAGACATGGAAGACGACCGAATGATCAACTTTAAAAAATACCAATTGAATTAAACACCCGGAATTATTATTTTTTTGCACAGATCTATTTCGACATTTAAATAGATAACTTGAGATATTTCCTCCCCCGCCCCTCCCCGCTGTATGTGATAATCAAGGAAATTCCTACACGTTCAACCCGTACATCTGTCCTGTCTAGTTTCGCATTTTACCACGAATTTCGCAAATTTTAGTCGAGCCAACTCAAACAGAGCGGCAGAGAAATAGTCTTATTCTTAGTGCTACTCATGGGAAGAGTTGATTCCCTTTCATTTTTCATATACCAAATTGAACGGACAGGATAAAGAGTTACCCAACTTTGTGCACGCAATGCTCGCCCCTTATCTACCACCAGCGCCCCCCACTTGGCCGCACGTAGGCGGGACTCAAAGGGAAGCTACTCTTACAAGATTTCAAAGATTAAATGAAGAAAAAAATGGAATTCTTCTGCTCTATCGATTAAAAAGAAAAGCAAAAAATTGTTAAACGAGACAAATTTGATAAATACACACCCTTATCTTTTTTTTTAAAATTCCCATAAACAAATAAAATACAGGGTATAAATTATACTATAATTCATGTAATTATCGACTGTACGATTTATGGCAACTAACTTAAATTTAAAAAATTATGTTCATGTAATAATGATAGGAATAAGGAAATCACATGTGGTACTTGATTTTTGTTTGATAAGTTATCTCATAAAAAAAAAAAAAAAAAAAAAAAAGTTATCTGATTGTTGTAAGATACATGCAGAGCATTGAGAGAAACATTGCTAGCGCAAACGGCCACCCGCACGATGTCCACCAAACGGTAACTAATACATCCATCCGTCCCCCACCCACTCAAATTTGAAAAAAGATTGTTTAAGAAATAACTATAGAATGAATTTAAAAAATGAAAGAAGGGTATTTTAATTTTCGTAGAATAAATGTAATAAATCGAGACTTTTTAGGTTTATAAGTGGTTCGTGTACGAGTCGATACGAAAAGTTGGCGGGGTATTTCGACTCAGTCACTCAAATTCCATTCACCTTTTTTAAAAAGTCCCCATCCTAGTCCACCATAGGCTATTGACGAGTACTGATTAGGGCTAAATGGGCTCAGATAAATCCTTGGTTTGAACCCTGGCCACTCAGGTTGTGGTCACGTGATCGCTTGCAGGGACAGTGGGTTTAAGTAATTAACGGTTTTTATATCAGTCAGTTATTTAGTTAGTGAGTGACCTTGACCTCTGCTGTTTGTCTCACAGGTGCAGGTTCCTGAACCGCAGGAACAGTTCACCCACAAACACGACACACCTTACAGGCTCACGTAACAAGCAGCCCAGGCGACACGTCTGTGACTAGAGGTGACACAGGTGACTAGAGGTGACACAGGTGACTAGAGGTGACACAGGTGACTAGAGGTGACACAGGTGACTAGAGGTGACACACGCGACTAGAGGTGACACGGGAATAGAGGTGACCCGGGACTAGAGGTGACACAGGTGACTAGAGGTGACACGGGACTAGAGGTGACACAGGTGACTAGAGGTGACACACGCGACTAGAGGTGACACGGGACTAGAGGTGACCCGGGACTAGAGGTGACACAGGTGACTAGAGGTGACACGGGACTAGAGGTGACACAGGTGACTAGAGGTGACACAGGTGACTAGAGGTGACACGGGACTAGAGGTGACACAGGTGACTAGAGGTGACACAGGTGACTAGAGGTGACTAGAGGTGACACAGGTGACTAGAGATGACACAGGTGACTAAAGGTGACACAGGTGACTAGAGGTGACACAGGTGACTAGAGGTGACACACGCGACTAGAGGTGACACGGGACTAGAGGTGACACAGGTGACTAGAGGTGACACAGGTGACTAGAGGTGACACAGGTGACTAGAGGTGACACACGCGACTAGAGGTGACACGGGACTAGAGGTGACCCGGGACTAGAGGTGACACAGGTGACTAGAGGTGACACGGGACTAGAGGTGACACAGGTGACTAGAGGTGACACAGGTGACTAGAGGTGACACGGGACTAGAGGTGACACAGGTGACTAGAGGTGACACAGGTGACTAGAGGTGACTAGAGGTGACACAGGTGACTAGAGGTGACACAGGTGACTAGAGGTGACTAGAGGTGACACAGGTGACTAGAGGTGACACAGGTGACTAGAGGTGACTAGAGGTGACACGGGACTAGAGGTGACACAGTGGTGACTAGAGGTGACACAGGTGACTAGAGGTGACACAGGTGACTAGAGGTGACACAGGTGATTAGAGGTGACACAGGGGACTAGAGGTGACACAGGTGACTAGAGGTGACATTGACTAGAGGTGACACGTGACTAGAGCTGAAACGCGATTGAAAGTGACACAACCGTGACTCGATGTGACTAGGGACTAAAGGTGACGAGACCAGTCGTCTGTGTAGATGCGCCTGTTACCTGTAGAATGTCGCCTGCAGTTGCCTGAAGTTACCTGCTACTCGTGAGGGGAGTTTAAAGTTGTTGGGAGAGAGCCCTCGACACCACTTTACCTGCTCACCTGCTAACGTGACAACATCACGCCGTCACTGCATCTCACGTGACATCCTCATCCAGCAGCGTGACACTACACGTGTGGTTACCCACACGACACGACGTGTGGTTACCCACACTTTTTATCATGGTGACGTCATGTATCGTTTGTGTACAGCCCCCCCCCCCCCCAGTCTACATGTGTCATGGTATGTTCTTTGGGTCACGATCTTAAAATATCTGGACGATACTCCAGCACTCATACACATGGACGATACCGATACCTACAGGATAAATTTACAGGATACTCGAGTATTATGTGGGACGATACAAGTCCACGGTATTTTGATACATGATGATGAGAACAGTTTGATGTCGATGCCGAAACGTCGCTTGACTAATTAACTATGTGACAATTGATTAAGGAAGTTAGACAAGGTGTGTGTGTTTTCAACAGAGAATAATGTGGTGATCTCACAGCGTGATCTGACAACGTGATCTCACACCGTCATCTAACAACGTGATCTGACAACGTGATCTTACAGCGTGATCTGACAACGTGATATCACAGCGTGATCTGCCTGCTGTAACGTGTGTACCACACGGGCTTATGATGGACTCTCAATTTTTTTGTTGGACTGTCACAGCTCTACACAGTAGCAGCTGACTTTGTCGGATGGGATGACTGATGAATTTACCACACATGACTTGAGACGAATGACAGATGACTTTACCACACATGACTTGAGACGAATGACAGATGACTTTACCACACATGACTTGAGACGAATGACAGATGACTTTACCACACATGACTTGAGACGAATGACAGATGACTTTACCACACATGATTTGAGACGAATGACAGATGACTTTACCACACATGATTTGAGACGAATGACAGATGACTTTACCACACATGATTTGAGACGAATGACAGATGACGAGACTACGGCTGGTGTCTTGTGACTTATGTATGTTATCATGGATAATATGACTTATGACTTCTGGCTTACAGAATGTGTTATGTACAAGTAACTTTTATAAATCAACAAACATGTGTCAGCTACATCGTATGTTTGTGTGCTGTGTACGTACCAGTGTATGCGTGTATCTGTTATGGGCATATATGTGTACTGTATTTTAACCTCAGTATTTGTGTACACGTGTTGTAGACATGCATGTGTATATGTGTACGTGCAGTGTAGTAACCTCTGTATCTCTGTACATGTTGTACACTTACCTGTGTATACGTATACCTGTGTTGTGTACTGATTTCTGTATCTGTACATGTATTGTACACATACCTATTTGTGTACACGATCGCCCAACTGTAACACAACAATGCCTTTTACAAAATGATGCGCTGCACAACTTTACACGCTCTTCAATCTATACCTATATATATATATCTATACCTATATATATCTATATCATATATATATATATATATATATATATATATATATATATATATATATATATATATATATATTAATATATAGTTGCATTATATAATTTTTTTGGAGTTGTACAATAAATGTAAAACGCCATCAATGGTGTGTAAAATTGTAAATTTGTGTTCCAAACATCCCAGATGTTTTCTCTAAATCTGAGAAACAAAATTAATAAATGAAGTGAATCAAACATTAAAAACTGTTCACCCCACTAAACAATTTTCTAAGCTTTAAACTGTTCGACCCCACTAAACATTTTCTAAGTTTAAACTGTTCGACCCCCACGAAATCAATCTCAAGTATTGAAACTCTGCTGACTCTTCTAGAAAAGGGTTGACAGATCTATCTCCTGTAATCGACTCTCTAAGCCCTGTACATATTTAATAGCTGGAAAATTCCAGAACGTTTTGAGGTGTCAGTCTTCTGATACCCTCTATCGTCTGCCTGTGTGTGACGATCATGCTGATGAGAATATTGTGTCAGCATTTTTTCTTCAACTGTAAATATATCTGTTCGTCTAAAAAAATTTCAGACAAAAAACCTACGCTTCTGAGTGAGAAAGTATTCTAAATATTTAAAATTAAAATATAATTTGATCTATTAAAATATTTAATACAAATAATTTGTTTTGTGGTTACATTTTTGTCGGTGTCAGAAAGATATTTTTAGCGCCGATTGTCTTTTGTGATTTGATGATCTCAAGATATGAGTCATATACTAATCACAGAAATCACACAGAAATCACGCAGAAATCATATAGAAATCATACAGAAATCATACAGAAATCACACAGAAATCACACAGAAATCACACACAAATCACACACAAATCTCAGAGAAATCATCCAAAAAACACACAGAAATCACACATAAATCACACACAAAAGTCCCAAACAAAACCCAATCAAATCATACACAAAACCCACTCAAATCTCAAACAAAACTCACACAAATCACTCACAAAAAAAAACTAAGGACAACCCAGTGATTGTGTATGATTGTGTTGTCTGGTGACTAAAATAGAATATGACGTAATCTCGTAAAAAACTTCGTATAATCCAATCTTTAAATAGACATTCAAGTACAGCATTAGAACACGCATTTCTAGGTAGTCGGGTATACATGTGGATTGTCTCGTATATCTCTGGGCAGTCGGGTATACATGTGGATTGTATATCTCTGGGTAGTCGGGTATACATGTGGATTGTATATCTCTGGGTAGTCGGGTATACATGTGGATTGTCTTGTATATCTCTAGGTAGTCGTGTATACATGTGGATTGTATATCTCTAGGTAGTCGGGTATACATGTGGATTGTATATCTCTAGGTAGTCGGGTATACATGTGGATTGTATATCTCTGGGTAGTCGTGTATAAATGTGGATTGTATATCTCTGGGTAGTCGGGTATACATGTTGATTGTATATCTCTAGGTAGTCGGGTATACATGTGGGTTGTCTTGTATATCTCTAGGTAGTCTAGTATACATGTGGATTGTATATCTCTAGGTAGTCGGGTATACATGTGGATTGTATATATCCAGGTAGTCGGGTATACATGTGGATTGTATATCTCTGGGTAGTCGGGTATACATGTGGATTGTATATCTCTGTGTAGTCGGGTATACATGTGGATTGTATATCTCTGGGTAGTCGGGTATACATGTGGATTGTCTCGTATATCTCTGGGTAGTCGTGTATACATGTGGATTGTATATCTCTAGGTAGTCGGGTATACATGTGGATTGTCTCGTATATCTCTGGGTAGTCGGGTATACATGTGGATTGTATATCTCTGGGTAGTCGGGTATACATGTGGATTGTATATCTCTAGGTAGTCGGGTATACATGTGGATTGTATATCTCTGTGTAGTCGTGTATACATGTGGATTGTCTAGTATATCTCTGGGTAGTCGTGTATACATGAGGATTGTATATCTCTGGGTAGTCGGGTATACATGTGGATTGTATATCTCTAGGTAGTCGTGTATACATGTGGATTGTATATCTCTAGGTAGTCGGGTATACATGTGGATTGTCTCGTATATCTCTGGGTAGTCAATATACATGTGGATTGTATATCTCTGGGTAGTCGGGTATACATGTGGATTGTATATCTCTTGGTAGTCGGGTATACATGTGGATTGTATATCTCTTGGTAGTCGGGTATACATGTGGATTGTATATCTCTGGGTAGTCGGGTATACATGTGGATTGTATATCTCTTGGTAGTCGGGTATACATGTGGATTGTATATCTCTGGGTAGTCGGGTATACATGTGGATTGTATATCTCTGTGTAGTCGGGTATACATGTGGATTGTATATCTCTGGGTAGTCGGGTATACATGTGGATTGTCTCGTATATCTCTGGGTAGTC